ACCGTCTCCTTCAGTGAAGCATGTAAATCATGGTCACGTGACCAGGTCGTGACCCTATGGTCGGAGACAAATGTACTCCAACAGCGGAGTCACTCTAAAGCTTACAACCAATCAATATTTCTATAAAAACAGCCAATCGATTGACTGTTGCATGTAGAGGCATGTAGGGGCTGTGTGTAATAACTGACCTATACTAAAACATTGAAACATGAAGGAACTTATGAACGCAAAGTATATGTTTGTTTTATCTCTTTAAGTCCATACAAAAACAAGTCTACCGCTCGGTTCATTCATCACAAATCGTCTTTATTCTGAAGAAACTTGTCTAAGAAATAGCCGCTGCTCTTAACTAAGTGTTATTATTGATCATGTCGAGTGGAAATTAAACATAATTAAAAAATAATTATTTAGACATAATTCCAATATAAACCTAAGTCTCATATAAAACTACAGAAAAAAAGAAAAGTCTTGAATGGCTTTTGGAAAGTAAGAAAAATACAGAGTAATAAAGCTGGATTTTTCATATTTTTTTAAAAAATACCTTACTGATCTCAGCTCTAGAAAAGCTCTCAGTTCTTATCAACATCCATTCACACAAAAGTAGCACAACTCTCATCAAAGCAGTTCTGATCAATGTCCATTTCCAAAATACAGACCAACAGAAAGATCACCATTATGAGTGGCACGCGTATGGCAACCCAGGTAAATATGTCTATTAGCAACATGTTCTATTAGCAAAAACCTGGAACCAGCAACTGAAATCACAATTTTAAGTCAAATGTTCCAAGCTTGTTCTGGTTTGCAGACACATATTGCATGCAGCCCTATAGTATCTGTACACTTTTTATGGTTTTATAATGAACTACCTAAAGTCATGGAGTCACAAACAGGTTGTGAGATGCAAAGGTCTCCAACGTAACCATGGCGACTGACAGATAAAGCTCAGCATTACTGCCAAACATCCAACACAGTAGAGCTCCATTTTAAATTTGCAAAACTTCCCTAATCAGCGTCATAAATTTGGTGCGCAAATTATGTCATCCCACTGCTGCCAAAAGGCAGCTTAAGACCTCTTTATCAGAGTCATTCAAGCAAAGAGTCAATAAAACATTGTAATTACGCTTGCTCTTTTAAAATATGAGCTGGTCTAATTGACTGTGTGCATCAGAGCAAAACATCAGAATTCCCTCCAGCAAGTTTAATAACACCAATAAGCAGCGCACTGTGCAATCACAAGCGTGAACCTCAGAAACGTGGAATGGCACCTTCTTACTGAACGTCTGGATGAATGTTGTTCTGCTTGACCTGGATAATGCTTATCTCTGACCTTTGTGTGCAGTTTTCATTCATTTCCCTCAAGTGTCTCTTCAAACCCATAGCAATACTGATCAGAGACTCAACAGGAGCTTCATAATAACATCTTTATAATTCTCATGCCACTTGCCTGTTGAGGGCTGCAGTCAGGAGCTGTGGATAATAGTGTGGTGCAGCACATCAAACAGAGACTAGTCAAAAAGCAAAGCACTCAATATCTCATAGGAGTGAATTTAATGGCCACTGGTTGCTCTGGACTCTTGACCCTCTCTAAGAGGCTCAATGTTAGTCACTCTTCACTGCTTTCCAATTGAAAGCCAGCCAAGCTGGTCGTAGATGAGATTTCAACTGTCTGCTCAAAGCCAAGAGGAAAAAAGACCACAAGCTGCGGCTGGACGTTACATTAGTCAGCTGGTGTGACAGAGTGAAACGAGATACGGGGACGCTTTCACGTACAGTATGTATAGTAGCTCTGTTCATCCACTCTGCTTAGATAGTTGTATTTTATACTCAAGGATTGTTTATGTGGATGAAGGTATTTCTTTTATGTCCATCAAAATGGTTCATTATGAAAAATAAATGATTTAGGAATGTGTGAAAAGACAATCATACGATCAACACTTCAATCTACAGTACAAAATGACTCCTGACTTCTCTTTTCTCATTATATACTATTTTGCATGTTCTTCAAGGGATATTAGCAAGGTTTTTGGGAGGTGATGATGTTAGCATGATTAGCTTAGCATAGCTAATCACCAATGGACAAAGAGTCTTAAACTAATAATAAGAAATAAATAAAGCATTCTCTGTGTTGTGTAAAACAACTAGCATTCATTAAGGCGGGGTTTATTTAAAGTTTAAATTTGAAAATGCTAAAGGTTTACGTGCCACACAGCAATGCTTCGATTCATTTCCCATGCACGACTTTGCATGTAGAACCCAAACTAGTAACAATAACAAACACTAGAACTTGACAACAATTTCACAGCAAATCTTATCTACTACCAGCATTAACCAGAGCAAGATCAAGAGTTCCGTCTTCATAAAGTATGTCTGCAAAATATGTGGTTTATCTTTGAGGCATCCGTCAAAACACACGAAGGACGAATCTAAACCAACACAAACATTACAGATGCCGAGAAAGAAAAAAATACTCAGGTATGTATGAGACCTATCTGACTTAGCCATTTTGCAGCCAAATGCACACTTGTTTAAAATGCGTATTATTTAATGAGTGTTCAGTCGGGGGGAAAAAATTGATCTAACACGTTGAACACAGTCTGTTTATTTGACAGACTATTTCCGCAGGAGAGCTGCAGCTGTAACCTGACACTACGTCTGTCTTTAATCATCACACACAATTATCAGTTACCACTACAACAAAGCAGTGTGCTATGAATAGCTCGCATTTGAAAGGGAAACTGTTCAGGTTAATGTGGATTTGCTTAGATATTCCCAATTTACCGTTAGACAAGAAATGTATGGGGTTTTTTCTACAACATTCCAGAACCAGGGCCTCTTTAAATACACCAGAGGCAGATTGACATTGTTTGTGTCAATTTCAGGTTAAAGTAGACAAATTAAAGGATTTGTTTGTGTTCTATTGTTAGCAGAATTCTCCTACATTGTTAGACGGGTATTCTAATGTGTGGAACATTAGACCACAAACGTAAATTATTCACAAACCGGCAATAATGGAGCACTTTGTCTCACCATGAAACAAGACATTTATGAACGTTTAAGGACTGTTGTATCGTCTCTCTCTCTCTCTCTATTATAGTCAGAGACATTCGCTGTGCGAATAAGGCATCGTTCTAAACCTGTGTATAAATACACTGTCACGTACTGTCATCTAGCGTTCAAACGCTACGTTGCACCATTTATCCCGTACATAGACACAGACGCATACATTGAAAATAATTACATTCCTTGAGGTACAGTGACAGGAGAGCTCAGTTATGCAAGTCAAGAAAGAATGCTGAAAAAATGCGATGTTCAAACTCTACACACAGCTCATAACTGACTACAGTTATGACTACAGGACTTAACGATTTGTTGCAGCTTCAAAATAAACAGCACATATTCCACATTGCCTGACTACACCAAGAAACATTAGTTTCTATTGTTTTTTTAAATGTAAAACAAAATAACTTTGGTGAGCATGTGAAGGAAATGAAAAAAATGTCGTCTTACCTGGAGAATGTTGTCCCCATCCGCATCCAGAGGAGCCTGAGCCAATTTGACCACGAACTCACTGTGCGAGCGACTGGACTCCCTGTTCAGACAGGTGTTGGCAACCTTCCTCTTCTTCTGACCTGCAATACACAACATGGTTATTAACAGGTTTTCTTTTGGGCTTTGCAAAGCTGAATTTCATTGGGCGGTTTAAAAAAAAATGGTGAAAAATGATGGTTGACAAAGATGTCCGTATGTGATTTACTGTACATCCAAGCCATCCACACTGAAAATGTCACTGGCTGTCGTAAGTACATGATTTCAAAGTTACAAGTTATTAAATTGCTAGTAACAGACATATTGACAGGGAAGTACATTTTTTCATGTTTACATTTTCGTCAGGGTCGGTACCAGAGTGAGGCAGAAATGTGCCTGGAGGGCTGGTCACGATGAAAGTCTTTCCACTTCCTTTTGAACTACAAATAAAGATAAATAAATAAATAAAGAGCACACCCACACGAATTATCAGAGAGCACAAAGTAAAACAGGTATAAACCGTTTTACTGTTGTCGTCTGCAACAGAATCACATGAAATGTCTAATATTCAAACAAGCAGGAGTAAAACAGGTATAAACCGTAGATTGGCCTGTCGTCTGCAACAGAGTCAGATGAAATGTCTAATATTCAAACAAGCAGTTGATGATTTTGTCCTTACCTGACAGGTTTTCTCATTTTACTCATGTTTAAAATTATCTTTGGAATTAATTACTAATAATTACTACTAATTACCCATCAGACGCCACCTCCTGGTTTCAGCAAGAGCTGATGATCATGTGTTCCCACACACCACAGAACACACAATCCACAGGAACCTGTCTCTTAGATTTGATCTCCATAATAGAATCATAATAGGTTTAGCATAGTGGCGTGCCATAGAGGAACTCTGAAACTTATTTCCAGTCATAGATTCCCATATGAGATGATATCTTAAATATGCCAAAGAGAAGATCAGGTGTGGGTTATTTATCAATTTTTTTTATTAGGCGTGGTGACTTCTATGTAGTAGCTCCCCATTAGTGATTGTGTTTTTGTCAGCAAAATATGCGCCAAATTTTCTTTTCAGTACAGAACTCATTGGTACTGGGAAAGGAATACGCTGTTGTTTTTTTGCAAGACACAAATTTTCCTTATTCTTCATTCTCACTGACATTTTCTAGGGTTGACCAGCTTCAGCAACCTCCAGCCGTTGGAAGACATGGCTAGATTTGTTGACGCCCCCGGTGTTTCACCCACATCCCTCTGATAGAATCAGTTTCCCCGTCTTGTACTTGAATACAGCCCCCAGCCCCATCTACTAAGTGCGAGCATCTGCACCAGTAGGGGCTTTTTGGGAGGAGGATGACATCATTTTCTTGAGGGGTGGGAGGGTATGAGGGGAGATGGAATGATTGGATGCAAAGAGAACAATCGCAGGTGTCAAAGTACAATTTGATGACTTGTCTGTATCATTCTTTTTTTTTTTTTTTTTTTACAACCTTTTAAAACACCATGGTTATTTACAGGGGTTCTCTTGAGCTTCAAAATACATAAACACACAAAATTTACATTGCAGCATTTGTTACATACACAGACACAGATGCACACATCAGAGTGGTGCTTGAAAGGAATTTTATTCCTTGAGGGAGCATGATGACAGGAGAGCTCGCTTATGCAAGTCAAGAAAGAATGCTGAAAAAAGGCGATATTCAAACTCTACTGAAGGATTTGTTCCAGCTTTAAAATCAACGGCACGTGTGCCACCTTCCTTGACCAGACAGTTTCAAATACGAAATAAAACATTTTACAAAATACCTTTGGTGAGCATGTAAATACCCGTTGCATATATAAAAGCACAGAAAATTGTTTAAATAGAATAACTACAGCTAAATATAAAAAGGTTCGACTATTGCACAACAGCCACGTGAGGAGGAGAGTGAAAAGGAGAGCAGTATCAGGAGCCGAGTTGAGCTGCGTTCAAGGTTTTCTACGTCTGCAGGAGAAAGAAAAAAAAAAAGTTAAGCAAAAAGTCAATTTTTTTTGCACCATAACTCACATGCACTGTGTGAAGTCACATTTCTTACTTTGTGATCCCATGGTGCTGAATACCTGGACCCATGTTTGATCCAGCTCTCATCTCCATACCCACGGAGCACTGCAAAGAAATGAGACGATAACTGTAGTACTGCAGACTTGGACTGTTCAAAACTGAAGTATATGCAGATTAAACAGTGACGTTCACTGTCATCTTACCCTCGTCTCAACATCAGTCCAGGCTCCATCATTTTGAACACTGTTAGCTGGTGCGCCCTCTGAAGATTTTCTCTTACGACTTAAAAAAAAACAAAAAAAAAACGTACGGTCATACATAGTGAATGTTTCCCAATATTTGGTTTGTTAGCAATTCTTTACATGAGCCTGTACCCTGGGACCGTGGTGAGCTGCTGTCTCAGAGTCTCAATGTCTGTGAACTGGACAGCCTGTCCTCCACTCCTGGTTTTTATCACCTCTCCCTAAACAACGGACAATGGATTAAAACAATTCGTTTGTGGACTAAACTATTAAAGATTAAGTAATTCAGTTATCGGGTTTCAATATTGGTCAAACCATTTCTAGTTTAAAGCAATGTTAATGCTATACAAAAACATGTGTAATAAAAGACATATACCAAAGTTCTCTAATAAGACAGTCAAATATTATTTCAAAATATAATCATCAATAGTCTAATGATCGTCTAGTTTTAATTTTTTTACTAACTTAGTTTAACTGTGAAGAAAAAAAAAGCATAAATACATATACACTTTTATTCCTCATTTTAATATAAAATGATAAACAGAGACAACCCAGCAGTGGCCCCATGCTCTCACCTTAATAAGTTTAGTCTGTATCTCCCCATCAGACGCCACCTCCTGGTGTGTCAACACATATCTGTCACACTTAGACAGAGCCTTCTCACTGGGTGCAGACACATGGATGGCATTAGGGATGACTGGCTGCAATACAGTTCCCAGGTCCATACTGGAGGTGGGTTTATGGTCCACCCACTTCTCCCCACCTGCAGACCTGGAGCGACGATGCAGCGGACGTACTGGTGTTTGTGTCTGATGAGAGGGAGACAAATGTAAATACAAATATGTATTAAAAAATGCATCAAAGCCTAATCGAGCTGTTGACAGTCATCAAGAAAATGTGATCGATGGAGTCAAACATACAGGGATAGGTGTGGGTGAGACTGGTCTCCTTGCGGGAGTGCGCTCCTCTCTGGAGGGCCTCTGAGGGCGATGCTGAACCTGACGTGGAGGAGGATCAGGACGCCCCGGTGTCTTACTCTCTGTCACTATGGCCTTGAGCTGCTTCAGCTTTTCATCTTTCACCCAGAGCTTGTTTTGCATCTGCAGCTGCATCGCATTGACACGTCTCTCCTGCACAGCAACGAAAACAAAGCGTTTCAATGATCATAACACCAACTAAGAAACAGAAACAGTTTACGGTCAATATAAAAGCTACATAAATTCATGCTAAGTGGGTTCAGGGGGAAAGTAACTCACACATTCTTTCTCCCACTTGTGCTGTGTGTCTGAGACCACACCGTGCATGCGCTGCTCCATGCGTCTCTTCTCAGAGACCTCCCTCTGCAGTCTATGGTCTCTGGTGTCCAGCTCCTGCTGCAGCGAGCGCTTATCGTCCTCATAAATCTTAGTCGTTTTCTGCAGGATGTCAATCTGCAAAGGAATCACATGAAATATTTTAAGATTAAGAAGTCTTTATTTGTCGCACTAGGTGGAAATTTACAACAGACACAAAATGTTAAAAAAACAAACTAGCAAAAAAGAAAAATTGGAACAGAAGCGTCTCTCACCTTATGTTCCTGCTTTTTGGTTATTTTCTCCAAACGTTCCACCTCTGCCTTGTTGTTTTGAATGATTTTGTCTTTTTCTGAAAGTTTCCCATTTTGCTCATATATAAAATTATCTTTGGAAATCACATTGGTGTCCAGTTCCTGAAGCATAGACTTCATCATGTTGGCTAAAACAACAAAAGCAAGTTAGCATGATTAAAAACATTTGCAACCGGAAAGATTAAAGTTGGACTAAGGTGAGGACGTACCTGCTTTACTGAACTCCTCAATCATCACCTGCCTGATCCTGTGTCTGTTCTGTAGTGCTTCAATCAGCCGGGGCAGCGTGATGTCATCATGTGGGTCAGTCAGCTCAGAGGACGGCAGAGGTGGCAGGCTATGAACCAGGCTGTTCATAACTGAGGGCAAGTCTGCAGAAACAGTTGTTTGAACTTTTATTTCTGTTCCCTGATTTAAAACAGTTACTAAGTCAGGTGTTTATAGATGCCTCTGAGACTTGACCTGTTAATAATAGCATACAGATATTGACCAAATGGCTTACAGTTTCAGCTTTATATTTCTCATAGTAAACATCTACCTATCTATTTTTTTGGATGTGAATTTGAAGCTATTTTACCCATGTCAATTGGACCTCCTCGCTCCTCCAGTTTACAGGACAGCTCCTCCTTAAAGACCTGGTTTCTGTTACGTCGACCTGGAGTGAAACCGTAGATTGGCCTGTCCACTGGTCGAGCTACTTCCACCTCCTGGGTCATCTCTGCAAACCTCATCACCAGCTGCAGAAGCAGAACAAGCCTCACATGTCAGACTATTAAGTAACGCCCATTGAGAAAGTAAAGAATAACATGACGTAGGACAATGGTCTACGTTAGTTACCAAGGTCTCGTCGTAGTCCTCAGCTTTGGGGTTGACACAAACGACCATTTTGACTTTTCCTTCTCCGTCAAAATAGTTCTTGAACAAATGGGTTATTTTTGAGTCTCTGTAGGGAACCATCTAAGAGAGAAACTGAGATTAACCTGATGATCCAACAGTGAATATAAAGAAAGAGCGTTAAGTGTTAACTAACAAATTCAAACCTTGTTTGTGCCACACATTTGGTTTTCTCTAAGTATTTCTATGCAGGTCCTCAGATTCAGCAAGGATTGATTAATGTTTCCTACAAGATGAGGAGTGGTTGTTAAATTTCTAAAAAAAAAAAAACTCAGCGCAGTGTTAAACCACATTTAACTGTTGAGGTTACAAACCTGCTTCACGTATACGAGTGCCTTCTGCTCCTGTTCTGCCAGTGCGCTCACTTCCTGCCAAGTCTACCAGACACAGCTGGCTGACAATCACCTGGCTTTTATCCTGACAGAAAAAAAAAGAAGTAAAAACAACAAATTAATACAAATAAATAAATTGGCAACTTAAGTTCTTTATATATAAACCTATATTTTAGCTGACCTGGAGAATGTTGTCACCATCTGCATCAAGAGGAGCCTGAGCCAACTTGACAATGAACACACTGTGCGAGCGACTGGACTCCCTGTTCAGACGGGTGTTGGCAACCTTCCTCTTCTTCTGACCTGCAACACACAACATGGTTATTTACAGGTTTCTCCACATGTGAAACGATTACAAATAACCTTTTCATAATCAATGATACTGGCGTTTTAAGGAAATATTTAAAGTACTTGTGCATGTTTTTAAACAGTTCAAGACTACAGCTGCTCCACATGTACTTGTGCATGTATTTAAACAGTTCAAGACTACAGCTGCTCAGAGAGAAGATTAACTGAGGTCATTTCCCAGTCAGAACTGACCAGCAGGTCAGAAATACTGAGTCGTCTCATTAACAATCATCAGCGCAGAGATGTCAACATTCACCACAGGACATTTGTTCCTAAAGCCCTTGCACCAACTCTTACCTCTCCAGAACACTTGGAAAGCCTCCTCGGCAGACTTGACCTCCACCTCCATACAACCAGCCACGTACATGTTATGATTCTGATCCTCCCGTAGGATTTTAGACTGAGGTGGTCTACAGTGATGAAATTAGAGTGTAAGTCATTCCAGTAACATGTCAACAGTTAATTGGAAAAGACACTGGTATGGAAGGGAACAAGGACAACGTGGGATTACACTTTATAGATCCACAGGCAGAGAAATTTTCACTTTTTTTTAATGTGAGAAAATAGTAAAATCAATTATTTCTTTTTTAAATAAGTGATTTTGACATTTCTTTCAAAACTTTCTCCCCCCCCAATTAAAGTCTGTCAGAAATAGTTATAATACAATTATCTGTGATTTTGTTATCAAAATGTCTTCATTACATAAGACAGAAGACTTCTGTGTCGTGAACAAACGGTACATAAATGTATATTTTTTTTCCATACAGCTGTCCTTTACTTCCATACCTTGGACATGAAGCAACAAAACAAAGGGATATGAATTACAACAAAACAGCCAGATTTCAGCTTGATCGCAGCCAAAGGCAGGTACAGGGCAGTAGCTGTCCATTATACAATGAAGTGACATTCAAAGCGACAAACGACAGATTCATTCAGTGGCTTTGCCATCCAGGGACTATAAGCAGCAGGGAGACAAAGAAAGCAAGTACTTGTCAGCACTGGAGAGTTGACGGTGGTGTAAATGGAAGAGGGGGCGCTGTATGTAAAAGTATCCAGACTTGGCATTAAAGTCCTGGATAAATTCTTACAAATTACAGGCCAGGATATAAACTGACAAAAATGTTACAAACACTAAATGTATGATGTGCAATATGGAAGATACACAACTAGTTTTGCGTTGCAGATTACATTTAATTATACATATTTACTACAATAAAATCAACGGGGCTCTTCAACAGGGAAAACACGACACCTAGGGTTCTACGTAAGTAATACAGGGAGGCGTCGTGATGTTTTACAACTTTTTGAATATTTTTTGCAGCTCTCTGTTTCTTCAACAGTTTTTCGTTGCGCTTTAATATTATTTAACGCAGAAAATTAAGAATACATTTTTGCTGACTCCAGTGTTGACAAGATTCTTAGTAATCTATTTCCTTGTTGGCAAAACATAAGCTCATCTAAATCTGGCCACTACTCTGATGTATGAACGGGCACTGGTCACATACATGAACTCAGTGTTCTGGCGCACAGGTGTGCCTCCACCATTCCACCTAGTAAAAAGAGAAGATCAACATTTTTTCCTACAAGTTGACACTTTGTGAATTATAAATCACTGAGCATTTATTTAAAAAAATTTAGGGATTAAAAAAATGAAACAAAATGCATATAGATTTTTAAAAATTCAGTTTGATATGTAAACAGTAGGCACTTACTTCGGTCTGATTGTATCTTCCTGATTTTCCTCCAAGAGGTCGTATATGTAGTTGTTGTAAATTTCTATGTAAGAGACAAAGATGCTGTAGCTGCTGTCTTCATCCACATCCTCTGCTTTATATGCATCCTCTGCCCGGACCATATCAGCAATTTCTGGATCAACTTTTTGTCTAAAGCAAATTGAGAATTGTACATTAAATTACATTTTACAGTATGTTTTTGCTATATCGCAGTATTTTACGGTAAAAAAATGAAATTAATTTCCAATATTTTCATAATAAAACAGTTTTAATAAGAATGTATTTTATATTGTTTTCCATGGTCGGGTATTTAATTTATTTACATAATATGTATGTATTATACAACGCTACTGTGCATACAATTGTGTGGGGAAGGGTAATACAGTGGGTTGATAACAGTGTGGGGGAGGTTCGTAAAGGGTAAACATATACGTAAAAAATATAATAACTATCTTGCCACTACTTCGCAGATTTTCCCTTTTCGTGGTGGGTCTTAGAAAGCAACTACCGCGATAGGAGAGGGACCACTGTATTGAAGCGCCTTACAAGATTTCAGGATTTCAGGATACAGCCTTACCTTGAGGAGGTTGTTTTCGGAGCCGGTGTGTTGTTTTCTCGCCTTTGACGCTCCAGCAAAGCATCAACTTCATTTTGTATCTCCATACCATTTTTGTCATCTGTCTTAAACACCTGGAAAACAAGGAGAATGAACTCAGAGACACAAGTTAAGATTCCAAAAACTGCTGTCAATTATTGTCTTTGATCTTACATATTTTTTAGCCTGGTAGGAGCTAATACTATTAAAGACCATGCTGAGAGACTGAGGCAGAAGTCCACCCTGGCCTGGGGAGCCAGTCATGGTAAAGGTCTTTCCACTTCCCGTCACTCCATAAGTAAAGAGCAAACCTAGGAGAATCAGAGATTATCAGTAACAAGTAAAAGAAGAATTGAACCAGGTGCACATTTATAAAACAGGTATAAAACATGTGCTGTTGTTGAAAAAAAGGTTGGGAAACAATGTTCAAAGACAAAAAATTTGTCAAAACGAAAAACAGATACAAATTTTAACAACGTAATAGAAGACAATACTTTAAAACTTGTTAGTTCAGAGTTATAATTACATGTTACTTGGAAATTAAAATAACAAATATTAGTGGTAATGGCAAAAAAACAACAACATTTTTTACCATTTTTTCCATGGATGAGATCATCAACAAGAGGTTTGGCCACATCCTCAAACAGCTCCATCTGAGACACTGAAACCCCAAAAACCTTTTTGAAGGAATACTGCGTCTGAAATCAAAAAGGGCAGCAATTTAAAAATGACGTAAATATCTAAATGTGTATATATTTACATTAAGGATGATGTTTACATATTAGACGGATTCCACAGAAACAGTTGTAATCAAAGAAAACTATGTCTTTGTTTTTACAAAGAATTCAAGTACAGTCCTCAAGCACATTTCTCACATGGAGGCATAGCTATGTCTGCCACAAAAATGATGAGGAGCTACTTCATTGTAAGATGTCCTTAAAAAGGATATCAATATATTTCTGCATACGTTTTCTTGACATGGTTAAAATGACACTTTATCACAAACATATTTAATAACCGAAAGGGTGGTCTTTATTAGTTAATGTCTAAAAACACTGTCTAAAGATTAAAAATAAACACATTTTACTTTATAAATTAAAAATGAAATAAAAATTGCAAAAATATACCATGGAGACATAAGGGAAACAAAGATACCTGTTAACTTCCTACACTTAAACAAAAATAATCTTACCTCTTTATACTCTCCATTGCGGTTTGTTTTGAAGCCTTCAGGAGTGTGTAGCTGGATGGTAGTGTCACTAATAACCTCAATACAGCATTCTTCATCCTCTGGACCCAGTGGTCGCACACGACAGTAGACCTGAGTACATATAAAAAGTAGAAGTTTAATGAAGATAGACCCTTTTTAAATCTTACACTGATATAAATTGTGGAAATTATATTAGATCAGTAATGTACAATAAAAACAAGATATTTAAAGCAAACAACAATAATATAAATACTGCAAGAACAATGCATGCTGGTCCACGATTCAAATTTGTTATTTTTCTACATGTTATTAACAATTTTTCACTCACCCCAACTGGGTCTTTCTGGTTACTTGAGGGAGTTTTTTGGGGCCTCCGGGGCGTTTTACCCTTTCTGTAAATAGGAAAAAGCATTTGTCCGTCAAGTAACATCTTAAGAAGTCACACTTTTTTTAAACAATGCACGCCCGTATTAGTTAGCATTGGTTAGCATTAACACCCTTAGCAGACGGTAAACACAGCAATTTTAAGAAATAAACTTGAGCGGTGTACTCCAATGATTCCACGGGCTGTTTAGAACCAGAAAATAATGTTCATATAAGCAATATTTAAGTGGTGCGATAGATGGGTAAACTATAGCTGTACTTACGCCTGTCTATTCATTGTAACCTTTCTCTTCTTTTCTCCAGTTTCTGTATATACAGGTTTGAACTTTCCCTCCGCCTCAAATCACAAGATGTTTTCAAAACCACGCTAGACCAGCCAATTAGATTCTACTAAAACGGTCACATGTCGTGGACGTCACTTCCGAAACTCGCATACCAACAACTCTGCCAAAATAACTTTCAAGCCTTGTACTTTGTATTTTACCTTTTGTAACGTTACGTTTTTTTATCACCGGAATAAGAAGACAGTTGACAAAAAGGCGAAAAGTAAAAAAAAGAAGAAAGAAACTTGATTATACATATTAATACATATTCATTTGTAATTATTTCTTGTAAAGTTTCAGATGAGCTGCTGCACATTTATAACAACAATATCAAGTAAAAGAAAGCTGCATATGAAACACATACATGCTTTTGAACTGTTTTATTTAGATTTACTGATTTACTATTTCTTTAATTTGTAAACCCCGTCGTTTCCAGGAAGATTAGACAAACACTGACTCCTAGTGGCCAGCGGCTAAAACGCAAAAACAGGAGGATTCGCAGCCATTAAAGTGCTCACGTGTATTTCTCCTGTTTTAACGAAACAGAACACTGCTACGAGCACTAGTAGTATAACGATAGCAGATTACTGTTAAGTCAAACGTTCAGTGTACTGTTCAACGGCTTCTATTTTTATGAAACATGAAAAGGCGACCCGCGGAGTCAGTTTCAGTTGGATCAAAGGGAAGAGGAAATAAGCAAAACATTGACGCTGACAACGCTGGTCCAACTCTCTCCAAGAAACTACGAAACAAGAAAGATGGAGAAACCTCTAAACAAGGTGTGTTGGCGACCAGGTTTTGTTACTAGAACATGACAGAAATACAAATAATACTCGTGTCATAACCTCCAGCTAAATGACTGAACGTATTCCGTTTGTTGCAGTACATTGCCGTACTCCTACATCTACAGGAACACAAAGAAGACCTGTACCTGGCAACATCCTGCACTACATCTACAGAAGCACCCTGGGACAAAGTCTGCAATCACAAATGAGACAGGTGAGACACTTGGCTGTGAGACCAACTCTTAATCATCATGAATCAAATGAAAAGTGACAGAAAAAAATAAAGTTCCAAGTCCTTCACGTAGGTAGCATCTCAGTCCTCACACATATGTCTGTCAAACTGCAGGACCCATGGTGGCGTTTATGCATATGCAAGAATGTATTTACTAGGAACTTTTTAGTCAACTAACAGGAACAGTTATTATAACTAAATAACATTCCAATAAAATCGACTATTGTCTCTTCTTGCACATTACTGTTACTTGTACCTTATCCTCTCTTCCAGTGCCTTCAGGAGCCCTTTGTTCGTTTACTGTCATCATATCATTTCCATGGTGCTGTCAGCCCATTTGACCGCAGGATCACTTGTCTGGAGTGGAATCCCATTCACCCCACTACGATGGCTGTAGGGTCCAAAGGTGGAGACATTTGTTTGTGGGACTTTCAGGCTCCTGCAGAAAAAACCTTTATTCAGGGGGTAAGTCTTGGCAAAGTAGAACATTTGTGTTAAAAATGTTGATCCATTTGAAAATGTTTATTCATTGACCAGGCAGTCAGTACGTCTAGTTTTTAGTAAGTAGTAAATATGTGCAAATTTGTTTTATTTCAATGAATTTTGATTTTTATGTATTGTTTGTACATAGATGGGGGCTGGAGACTCGGTTACAGACCTGAAATTTAACCGGTTAAACTCCTCACAGCTGTTTATATCATCTATGGGGGGTACGGCAGAGCTTCGAGATTTCAATGGAAGAACTTTAACGGTGTTTTCTAGGACAGACACACTGAAGTAAGACTGAGTGAGATTTAAAAAAACAAAACGTTGTGGCCTGGCATCAGTCTTCTTATTAGATGGCCCCTAATTGGTGTAAAACCAATAGTGTGTGTGGTGGAGCCAGTAACTGGGCCGTGATCAGCTTACATTTGTGTTCATCTGCACAGAATGGTGCAGGAGACTTTATAGGAGGGATGAAGTTTTGCCCCAAGGACCTTTCCAGAGTCTATGTGGCCTCTGGTGAGGGTAAACTGACCGTGCAGAGCTTTGAGGGCCTCCCACCCACCACGCTGTCCACAACTGAAGACTGTGGTCATGATCACCATAATGTTTGGTGAGGAAAGAAGACTGATGCTCGGCAGTTTAACGTTTAACACTTACCGGCATTTAACCGTGGTATCACTAAAGTCACCCCTGCCTCTTTGTCCCCCACAGTTACTGGTATTGCTGTGTGGATGTGTCTGTGAGCCGACAGATGCTCGTGACAGGAGACAATATGGGTCAGCTGGTACTGCTGGGCTTGGATGGAAAGAAGGTATGTTCACTGCTATCTGATGTTCACAAGTAAAGTGAAAAAAATAAATGAGACGATGTTGACCATTTGTTGAAGTCCAAATCCCCTGTGTAGAAATGGATGGTTATACACCAGATTTGTTTCACCGTTCCTGTAGATCTTCAGCGACAAGTTACACAAAGCCAAAGTGACGCACGCAGAATTTAACTCCCGTTGTGATTGGTTGTTGGCCACAGCCTCAGTTGACCACACAGTGAAGCTCTGGGACTTAAGGAACATAAAAGACAAAACAAGTTTCCTGCATAACATGCCTCATGAAAAGGCTGTTAACTCAGGTAACAATCTATTTCTCTATATTCTTTTTTTTTCACTCTAGGTAATAATAATAATTACTCTAGTAATTTATTTTGAAATGTACAATGTAATAATATGAATTTTCAAATAGTTACATAACCTAGTTCTTAAAAACACCTTATTGGTAAATGTTAGTTACTTAAAATGGTTGTAGACATCAGTCCGAAAGGTGTGTGAACAAAAGTGACACTTTTTCATCCAACAGCCTATTTCAACCCTCTCGACTGCACTAAGTTGCTGACCACAGATCAGTATGACCAGATCCGTGTCTACTCGTCCCCTGATTGGTCAAAGCCTCAACATATCATCCAGCATCCTCACAGACAGTTTCAACATCTAACACCCATCAAGGTTCGTATGTATTGTTGTAACTTCAATGGGAGTAAAGCTACCTCATATTTTTGTTATTAAGACCAGAAACACCTTACCTACACCTTTTTGTTCCCTATAGTGAGACAGTTATCATGCCTGTGGTGACACACATGTTCTGTATTGTTCTGTAGGCCACATGGCACCCTGTCTATGACCTGATTGTGGCCGGCCGATACCCTGATGACCGTGTTCACTCAGGTGACCTACGGACCATCGACATTTATGATTCCAACACAGCAGAGCTGGTCTGTCAGCTGCATGATCCCACGGCTGCAGGGATTAAATCTGTGAGTATGTGTGTAACTGAACACCGTCAAAAATGTACTGAGAATAGAACTGAAGTTGTTTGGGGTTTTTTTCTTGCTCTTCTTTTATTTTTCAGCTTAACAAATTCAATCCACTGGGTGATGTGATTGGATCGGGAATGGGTAAAAACATTTGCAATATTCTGTGAGCTCTTGGCGGATTCACTGTAAATAAGTAAAGTGAACAACATCATGTCTTCTGGCAGGTGTGACAGTGCTGGTGTGGAAAAAGGAGGATTCTCTGACCAGTAATGGGCTCGTACAGCAGCAGGAGGAGGGCGGCGCCTCAACGTCAGTGGGCAGTCAGGCACAGAGAAGAAGAGGAAGTCAGCAGCGCTCGGGCAGGGAGCGGAAAGGTCCTGCTGCGGATGCAAAGCTCAAGAAGAAACTGGCTTCTTTGGAGGAATGTCAAATCAAAACAAAGAATAATACAAAACAGAAGCAAACGCAGTCAAAGAAGAAGTGACCTGAAAAATAGCTGAATCACTTTTACATTCCTTTCTCCCTTGTTAAATTGTTCTATATGCAGTGAATAGTTTATTCTCACTAGTTCAATCAAAAGATTATGTTGTCACTTGTTTTTTCTACTGTCTGTTAATAAAGTTATTTTTGTCAAAGAAATACGCTGCCTGACTACACTCTATGTCTATTCCGCATAACTGACAAGATAATTTCCACGCAGTTCATGAACCGTAATATTGACCAGCTGGAGGAGCACACCTCCCCAGACCTCCTTTTTTTCCCTTATCTCCTGGTGTGAGGCCTGGTGGGCAGAGAACACCATGCTCAGGAGAAGACCCTCAAACTGTGTCTGAGTTAAGGGTCCGCTCTGTCCCTCCAGTGTGGTCATCATCTGCTTCATGGATCTCAGGTTTCTAGGGATGTTATCGTTGATCTTGAACAGGAACGTTCGTCCCGCCCTCATCGATGCCATCTCTTCATCAAGGAGCATGATGTTATTGTCCTGGTTGAGCTCCACACCACCAAGCAAAATCTATGCAGGAGAAGTTTAAAAAGAAAATGAATTTTCTACACTTCAAAATGAATTTGTTATTAACAAACAGCTTTTGTGAAGAGTACCTCAAACATCAGGTTTGCATCTGAGACAGCTGAGTCACTGGTTTTAGAAGTTGGATCTAAGCCTGTGGCCACATCTGAATTAGAAACACAGTTACTTGAATGAAATTCTCTTATCACAGGAAGTCCATCGGTACTAAAACTGTTTTCCTAGACACTAGATTTATTTATAGTGCTCTCACAAAACATAAAACATTTTTTCATTTAAAGATATTCTGTTTCTTCTTACCTTGCATAACTTGTTGACACCAAAGCATCAGAAAAACCTGGAGGCAGATTTGAAGTTGTATTTTCATATTCATGGTTCTGTTTCTCATTACCAATAGATAATCCAATGCATCCCTCCTTGCACCGCTCTCCCTCATCCACGTTGGTGAGTACTGACTGAGGCACCTCGGGCTAAATACCGAGAATTTTATTCCTTCTTGGAAAAAGAAACAAAAGCCAATTGGCCTCTGGTATGAACAGCACTGACAGCAATCACTTTTTAAAAGGTGTTCTGGTTTTTTCATTTTCAGAGGATCACAGAGGCAGTTGACCTGTTTTACCTTCATTTAAAATGTACTTGTACTGCTTTTAATGTGTGTAAAATAAAAGGTACAAAGAGAAAAACCTAAGATTGGTAGACATACTCACATACTTTTGCTCAGCCACCTCATACTTTTGACTTTTATTCGTAGCATTGTCGCTCTTTTAGGTCACGGGTATTATAAATACAAATTCACAGAGGCGATTATATTGTAAAAAATGCTGTCTTTGAATGTTAACTTTTATTTCGACGTACTTAACGTTGTACCGTCACATTTTTTTATGTCTACTGATTAATTTAAATCTATACAGTTGTAGTTGTAAAGCTTCACCACATGATGGCAATAGCAGTAGTACTGTGCCAACAATCTGAGTTGTATCACTTCCGGTGTAGAGGTCAGTTGGTCCCGAATGATTAAATAGTAGAGATAAAGGTAACTGCGATGGTTTTCTTTTTAACGTTTTCTTTTTTGTTTAACGCGTGACTTTTGTGTAATATGCAAGTTAATAATTAGATTATTTCCTTTATCATAGTGGTTAAAACATTTAAGGAGTCAGTGCGTAAATAAGTGAGTGCTAACGTTTAGCCTGTTACCCATCACAGCTGCATGTAAACAATCAAACTGCTGAAACTATTACAGTTCCACACAATACTGCTGCAGTACATCATGAATAAATTAAACATATAATGATTCCCATCTATGCTGCTGTGGCGTTGACGTGACTTTCAAGTTGTAATTTGTGATTATGTTGGAATGAATTGATTTTGAACACTATACGGAGATTGAGTAATGCAACATTATATGTGCTACAATTATACAAAAACTATTTAAAATGTTGTTTTGCTGTTTGTTTGTTTGTTTGTTTTACGCGGCCAGGAGAGATGGAGTCTAATGAGGAGGGTGGCCTCAGTGTTGGGGGCTCCGTGGGAGAGGAGAACTACTTCCTAGGATACACCTTCACTGACCGCTCACACTCCAGCCGAGTGGTGAAAAGCATCATGGACCTGTGTCTTGAGGACGGCCTGTTTGCTGATGTCAACATCACAGTGGACAACAAAGAGTTTCACCTGCACCGATTGGTGCTCTCAGCACAGAGCAGTTACTTTCGCTCAATGTTTACATCGAATCTTAAAGAGTCCCACAATCGCAGTATTGAGTTGAAAGATGTCAGTGCCACTGTCTTCCAACTGCTGATTGACTACATATACCACGGCACCATTAAGCTGAGACTAGAGGAGCTGCAGGACACTTATGAGATGGCAGACATGTACCAGCTGACTGCTCTGTTTGAGGAATGTTCTCGTTTCCTATCTCGGACAGTAGAGGTCAAGAGCTGCCTTCAGGTGAGCCTCTATTTTCACTGTCCTAATAATAAACAATGCTAAGCAATGCACATATCAATTCACAATCTCTTCTTAATATTAGGTGATGTGGCTTGCAGACAGACACAGTGACCAGGAGCTGTATACTGCAGCCAAGCACTGTGCTAAAATCCATCTCGCTCAGTTGCATCAGACTGAAGAATTCCTCAATCTGCCCCTATGTCTGCTTTTGGATATCCTCAAAGGTGTGTAACCTGTCACAGTTGGATGACACCAAACACTTGTGTCATCTCCACTCTCTCTTTAAAACTGACTACATGAATGTCTAATTTACCAAGTATCTCCACTCTCTCTTTAAAACTGTCACAAATGACTACATGAATGTCTAATTTACCAAGTAATGGAATTAACTTGAATATTAATGCCTGTTTGATATTATAATGTTTTTGTGGTTAGATGGAGTTCCTACTTCCCAAAATCCAACAGTGGCTATTGAGTCATGGATAAACCACAATAAAGTAGAAAGAGAAGAGTTTTCTGTTGTTCTTCGAGAAAATCTAAAGGTAACGTGCAGCATAATTGAAGTGACTCATTTCAATCTAATTTAGATTTTATACACATCTGAAAATTCAACATTTACATCCACAGGAAATTGGTGAGAATGTCCACATTTACCTAATTGGCAAAGAAGAGACAAGGACTCACTCCCTAGCTGTGTCGCTTCACTGCGATGAGGACGACGCAATCAGTGTAAGTGGACAGAACAGCCTGTGTCACCAGATCACCGCAGCCTGTAAACACGGAGGAGACTTGTATGTGGTTGGGGGGTCTATTCCACGTCGCATGTGGAAATGCAACATGCACACTATGGACTGGGAACGCTGTGCCCCACTGCCCAGAGACCGCCTCCACCATACAATGGTCTCGGTCGTTTCTGAGGATGCGATCTACTCACTAGGTGGAAAGACTTTGCAGGACACACTTTCAAATGCGGTCATCTACTACACAGTAAAGGACAACATGTGGACAGAGACCAGCCAGCTGGATACGGCAGTGTCTGGGGCAGCTGGGGTTAATTTGGGAGGTACAATCTATCTGCTGGGAGGAGAGGAAAATGACATGGACTTTTTCACCAAGCCGTCCCGCCTGATTCAGTGCTTTGACACCTCAACTCAAAAGTGCCAGATAAAGCCGTACATGCTGCCGTTTGCAGGCTGCATGCACGCTGCCGTGCACATGGACGTAATCTTCGTCGTGGCAGAAGGAGACTCCCTGGTGTGCTACAACCCTCTCCTGGAGAGCTTCACCCGCCTACGCTTCCCCGAGGTGTGGAGCTGCGTCCCTTCACTGTGGAAGGTGGCCAGCTGTAATGGCTGCATTTATGTTTTCAGGGATAAATGTAAGAAAGGTGATGCAAACACCTTGAAGTTCAACCCAGCTACATCAGTGGTGTCAGTTATCAGAGGGATAAAAATCCTGCTTACAAATTGGCAGTTTGTTTTAGCCTAATGTGCTCAGTGGATGGTCACTGTGGTCCACACAAGAACCACCGGAATCAAGGAGGACCTTTAGGTGAATGACAGCAGCATCGCTGTTCAGACATCCTGCAGGAGACCCGATGTAAAGAAATGTACACAGTTGGTTTCTGTGTCACCCATTCCATTTTAACGCTGATGCTCAAACAGTGAGAGCATTTAAGTGATGTCAATCTATTGTGGTCAGTATATGTTGTTGTGTAAATGGCAGTGCTGTAACCAGTGATACATGAGTAAACATTGTTTTCTGAGCAGAGCTAGTTTATCTGCAACTATGAAAACTTCAGCATAAAAAATGTGTGTATAAATAATGTGTAAGTTGAAATGTTTGGTAAATACAACAATAGTTTTATTTGAAGTTATTGTGCAAAGACATACTGGGTAAGGATATTTTCTACCTTTTATAAGTGTATTTTCCTTGTTTTAAGTACTTTGTTGAATGCACCGTGTACAAGTTCAACGTTTGCTGTAAACATAAAAAATATATCGCTTTATGCTCAAATCTGTTTGATTTCATTGTGTTCCCAGGTTTTGGGACATTTATCACTGTCCCAAAAACACTCCACACAGTGACATGTTTGAAGGAGTGAAAGGTACTACAGACGAGCCAAAACTTTGATCCCATTGATGCGGTTCAGGAGGCTGTGCAGTTGAAACCCAAAGCCAGTGACATGTCAGACTTGGTGAACTATTCTAAGCATCAGTTGCTGACGCCGAGATGAGGGGTGGGGGCTTTTTGGGGGCATATATGCAACTCTATAAGAACTCCCAATAGGAAGTTGCAGCACTGTAAGCACCAGCTGAAGTCTAGTTGTTTAATGTTGGGAAGAAATTCTTTGAAGCCCCTACAGTAGAGGAAAAGTCTGGTCAGATCCACAGGCAGCTAAATGTTATTCATACCCCAGATGGTTGTGGTGCAAAAATTTACACAGCAGCGTACGACCAGTGAGGTTTGGTGCGAAGACAGATCGCTAGGAGCTGTAGTGACCTTGGGAACGCTTGCTGAGGGCAGGACAGAATTCCTGAAGGGACACATGGTCTAGAGTGACAAGGCCATCTGCTGTAGCGCCAGCAGTAAGAGGAAGGTGGAGGGGGGGTGCTGAGATTCCTTTCGCCGGGGTGTGGAGGGAGCAGATATTCTAGGATATCGCTGCGAGCACTCCACCAGGAAGCGTGTTTCTTTGGCGTTTTTCAAATGGAAATCTGAGGTTGAATTTTTCTTACACTTCATGGTGAGAGGAGATCTTTGCAGGGTTAAATGGGGAAGACATTTTTCCAGTCTTTCACCTCTCCATAAGGCAACTGGTGAGAATGATCTTTGTGTATCACCGTTTTACTTCAGTGGATCCAGTTTCCGTTCCATCTCGGCTCAGTCGGAGCTGAGAGAGCGGGACCTGGTAGGCCTTCTGGCACCAACCTCCCCAAGGATCAACTTCAAGGGATCTTCTCTGGAATCGTTCTGTGTATGGCAAGGATCTACTTTCTTGCTTCCTCACTGAATTTCATGGCCTAAACAAATGAATATTTTTATGAGGCACCTTGCACCAGAAATGGGCCAGGACCAAACCAAGCAGCAGATAGAAAAGGGTCTGAAGTTGTATCAGTCCAACCAGACTGACAAAGCCTTGTATGTGTGGATTAAGGTACTGGAAAAGACCTCAGATCCTGGAGGGAAGTTTCGGGTGCTGGGATGCCTGATCACAGCTCACTCAGAGATGGGAAAATATAAAGATATGCTCAAGGTAGGCTGTAAAACAACCATGCACTACAAACAATGTATACCTTCAATGTTTAATAAGAAGTAAATATAGAAAATGTGTTAGTTTCTAAATATTTAAAATTATAGCTCTCCCTTTTATCCCTTATTCTGTACCAGCAGCAATACAGTGCATGTCTAACTGGATATCACTGCATATTTAATTATTCTAATACCTTGCAGAGTTACGAACGGCACAGTTATTGCGTTTACATTATATATGTTACGCTTCTAAAATTGCCCATTAAACATTTTCAGAGAAGAGGTCAAAGGTCACCCATTTCCCATCCCTTTCCATCTATCCTGCAAAGCATGGGTTAATTTGTGGCTTCCATGCGATGCAGAGTAAATAAGTGTCCTGCAACCTGAGTCCAAGTGTGGGGTGTCTTGTTGACATAATCATCTTCAGTCAAGCAGCTTTTCTCTCACTCATAGAACTTTTAAAGTAGAGGCCCGGTGTCTTCTCAGATGATTTAAATAAAAATTTTGAAAACATTACTTGCTCGGATTGCCGACCCTCTGTCTTTCTGCAGTATGCGCTTGATCAAATCGACACGGCCAGAGAAATGGAGGATCCAGACTACCTGACAGAGGGCTACCTGAACCTGGCACGCAGCAATGAGAAACTGTGCGACTTCCAGAAAACGGTGTCTTACTGTAAGACCTGCCTAAACATGCAGGGCACCACTGTCAGTCTGCAGCTGAACGGACAGGTGTGCCTGAGCATGGGCAACGCCTTCCTGGGTCTCAGCGTCTTCCAGAAAGCTCTGGAAAGCTACGAGAAGGCCCTGCGCTACGCACACAACAACGATGACAAGATGCTGGAGTGCCGAGTCTGTTGCAGCCTGGGGAACCTCTACGTTCAACTGAAGGTAGGCACTAGAAGCTGCCTTTTGCTAAACTGGGATGTAATTCTTATAGATGTGGAAAAACCGAAAATTCA